AAACCCCATCTCTACTAAAAATACAAAATTAGTCGGGTGTGGTGGCACACGCCTGTAGTCCCAGCTACTCGGGAGGCTGAGACAGGAGAATTGCTTGAACCTGGGAGGCGGAGGCCGCAGTGAGCTGAGATGGTGCCACTGCACTCCAGCCTGGGCAAGATAGAGCAAGACTCCATCTCAAAAAAAAAAAAAATTCAGAAAAATGAAAATAAAACCACAATTAAATACCATGTTATATATACCAGATTGATAAAAATTAGAAAATCAGAAAATATTGGTGGAGAAATGAGAGCTTTCATGCTTTTCTTGCTGGAATGTCAACTGGCTATTTTAGAGATAAATCTGGCAGTATTTTGTAAAACAATACGTGAATTTGCTCTATAATCAAGGAATTCTATGCATATATATCCAGAAACACAGACACATTCTTGCACAGGCACACAAGAGAACATGCAAGAGAATATTCATTGCATCCTTGTTTGTGTCTGCAAACACTCCAAAAGAACTTCCTGCTTGTCACTCAAATATTGGACAAGTAAAGGGTTTAGGTAGCAGTCTGAAAAAATGAGTCAGATTTACATAATAGCAAGCAGGATGTTTATGTCGCAGAAACATAATGTTGAGTGAAAAAAAGAAAAAGCATTAGATTTATCTCCCAATACATTTCATGAAAATTCAACACATATGCACAAAATAACACTAAATTTCAAGGATAGGAATTTGTCTAAATAAATATATGAAAGATGGATTAGAAAGATGCCTAATATATTCACAAAGATTAGGCACCTTTGAGGCTATAGAAATAGAAAAAGGAATGGAGCCAGGCATGTTGGCTCATGCCTGTAATCCAAGCACTTTGAGAGGTTGAGGCAGGAAGATCACTTGAGCCCAGGAGTTTGAGATCAGCCTGGGCAATGTAGCAAAACCTTGTCTCTCTCTAACAAAAAAAATAAAAAATTAGCTGTGTGTAGTGACATGCACTTGTGATCCCAGCTACTCAGAAGGCTAAGGTGGGAGGATCACTTGAATCTGGGAGGTCGAGGCTGCAGTGATCTGTGCTTATGCCACTACACTCCAGCCTGGGTGACAGAGCAAGACCCTGTCTCAAGAAAAAAAAAAAAAGAAGAAAAAGAGAAAGAGAGAGAGAGAAAAAAGAAGGAAGGAAGGAAGGAAAGGAAGGAAGGAAGGAAGGAAGGAAGGAAGGAAGGAAGGAAGGAAGGAAGGGAGGGAGGGAGGGAGGGAGGGAGGGAAGGAGGGGAGGAAGGGGAGGAAGGGGAGGAAAAGAAAAAAGAAAAGAGAGAGAAAGGAATGGAAGATGAAGGGGAAAATAATTGTGCACATGACATTTTATATAATGTTTGAACAAGCTGATGTTGTTAGTCCTCCATGAACTGAGAAATGGAATGAACTTAAATCTGTGACTCCAAAGTCTTTAAAAGTAAGTAGATATTCTTCCAAAAACTTCGTTGGGATAAACTGGCTTTTTTTGTTGTTGTTTAAACCTTTATCCCTCCTCTTTTTTTATTTTGTTTTTCCTCTTTCTGCCCGATAAAGGGTTGCTGGCTCCTCACCAGGTGTCTGCAAACTCAGAGAGCATGGACAGCATTCTGGTGACTTGGCAGCCTCCCAGGAAAGATCTCTCTGCTGTTCAGGAGTACGTGGTGGAATGGAGACAGCTCCATCCAGGGGATGACACACAGATCCCTCTAAACTGGCTGCGGAGTCCCTCCTACAATGTGTCTGCTCTGATTTCAGGTACCTAATTGTTCACCTTCCTTCCAGAGGGTTACTAAGTTCACATTTGTTTGGGAAAACTGCAAGGAAGAGCCAGAACCCTGCCTTCAATTACAGGTGGCTAGATGATAAGAGAGACTGATGACCTAGAGTCCATCCAGCAGCACTTTAGAATACTCCACTGTAGACATAAATGACCAACTGGTTGACTAAAAACTCTATTATTTACGGAAAATCCATATCCCTAGGACAATGCCAAAGAAGACGAATGAATAATTGAACCAAACAAGTATGGCTGAGAGCTAAGTTAACTGGCCAGTGTAATAGACACCTTTGTTTATCATAGCACACTGCATGATAATACATGAGGCCATCCTTAACTGTGTGGGGAATTCATTTATTTAATAACTCTCAAAGCAATCATTTTCAGTAAGAGTCGGTATGGCCATTGTATAAATGAGGAAACCAGGAAATCCTTCATTCCCAATTCTGCTACTTACTGTGTAGTAATAAATCCAGAATTATCTATATGACAATTGGTATTTCTAATCCTCAGTTTCCTAATCTGTCAGTGGTTAGAATTAAGCGAGAGGATGCATTTGAAAATACATTAAAATGATTGGGCAGAACTTAGTTAATGTCATTGGTAAGCATAAATTCAGCACTGAATTGAATCAGTGGTTTAAAGTTCTGGCTCTGCAGCCATACTACCTGGGTTTGAGTCTTGGCTCTGTCTGTGTGATCTAGGGCAAGTTACTTAACCCCTTTGTGCCTCAGTTTCCTCATCTGAAAAATTAGGATAATAATATTACCTACTTCGTTGGGTTATTGTGGAGACTAGCTGAATTACTTCATGGAAAACGTTTTGAATAGTGTCTAATACATTTTAAGGGCTCAGTAATTTCGCTGTCATCAATATTACTAGTATTACATGAGACAAAGCTAATATTTTAAGGTTTTCAAGCTCTAAATCCTATAATGTCTCTATAACAATCATTACACCTTTCTAGGAGGATATACACACCCTGCTTAAGGTGACAAGATTTATACAAATGAAATAAATAGCACACTGCATGATTATACATGAGTCCATCCTTAACTGCATACCTCTTTAACAGTCTTGCTGCTCAGAGTTCTAGCAGGTTAATTTTTCACCACTACCCTTAAATAGAATGCTGCCTACATAACCCAGTAAGCATCCAAAGGAAGACGACCAAGTTATTAGGAGCTTGGAACTTCTAATCTGGAAACCATTTAGCCTGGAAAAGAGAATTCTAGATGGGCATGGGAATGGGAAGGCTTGATGGCTGTTGCTGGTTTTGACTTTACACACACAAGAGTATGTTTTCCTTTGTTGCTCTGGGGAGAAAAACTAAAGTCCCGTGTGGAAATTATAAAAGAAGTAGCTATCAGCTCAATTTTGAAAAAGAAGTTTCCTGCCTTTGATGGTCTCTAATGGGACAATCGATTACCTCTCAAGGTAGTGTGTTCCCTGTCCCTAGAGTTTTTGCAGTAGAACCAGTTTTCTTTCAGGGCTGTTATGCCCATCAAATCAGGTGAAAGTGAATAGAAAAAGCATTTACCAAACTTTAAGCTGCTATGAAATTGTAAACATTATTATAAGCTGTATTAGGACTTATCCCTGTGGGATAGTTTGAACTATATGGCAAGAGAGATGTTTTCCATACTTAGTGAAATAAGTGTCTTTATGCACTTTAGAAATAATATTCATTTGAATAAAATCAATATACTAGGCTGGGCACGGTGGCTCACGCTTGTAATCCCAACACTTTGGGAAGCGGAGGTGGGCAGATCCCAAGGTCAGGAGTTCGAGACCAGCCTGGCCAACATGGCGAAACCCCATCTCTACTACAAATACAAAAATTAGTTGGGTGTGGTGGTGGGCGCCTGGAATCCCAGCTACTCAGGAGGTTAAGGCAGAATAATTGCTTGAACCCGGGAAATGGAGATTGCAGTGAGCCGAGATTATGCCATTGCACTCCAGCCTGGGTGACAGAGTGAGACTCCATCAAAAAAAAAAAATCCATATACTAATGAATAAAATGACTTTATTAAAGTTGTTCTCCTGCTTGGAAACACTTGGTTAGGTATTAATTTGTGTTGATGTTACAGTCTGGAAATAAACACTTAAATATTATTTTAACAATTCATGGTTATTATTAATTCAAAATGGCCCCCCCAGTCAGTAAAATCACTCACTGTTACTGATTTTCACCAGCCTTTTCCCAGCATCTGGCTGGGGCAGATTTGGGCATTTTGGAGTGGGCCAGAATACAGCCCAGCTCTTGATTTATAGGTGGGTGGAGGCTAGGCTAGAGACTAGTGCTGTCCTGTCTGGGTGAAAATGCTTCTGACCATATAGAGCCACTCCTTTTACAAATACATAACCTCATGGTGTCTAGAAAACCTTCCCTGCGCCTAGAGTTGTTGGGGGCCCTCTTCCGCCCTCTTTTGCCTTCTTCCTCGTTACCATTTAATGTTTGCCTTCTCCCACACTTACGAGATGCAATTAGCTTTCTGCAGAAAAACTACCGAAGTGATGGTTTATAAACATGGGGGCAGGGACTTTGCTGAAGGGTACTAGGTATGTATGTATGTATGTGAGTGGGGGGAAATGAGTCTGGAAATTGCAGCCAGACTCTAGAAAGGAAATAAAAGTCTTAGGAGTGTGGGCTTCATCTACTGAAGGTTTTGAGGTGGGGAGCAGATATTGTTAGGGAGTATTCATACAAGAATCAGCCAGTAAAATAGGAGTTCTTGAGGTCAGAACTGGGGAACAAGCTTGCTATGAGGGCTCTACTCTTGGTGGAAAGGGAAATGTCAGCTGAGTTCCGGAGCCATTGTCTTCTCTCCTCCACTAAAGGTGAGCCATTCACAAAAATAAACTACAGCTTCTAATGCAGCAGTTTTCAAGGCCTCTGTCCTGAATTCACATTTTGGATGGCAAAATACAAGGGAACTGTCTGCCTAATGAGCTTATCTGGAACTCCCATGCCTCCATAAGGCAGTGGTTGGTTGGCCCCTTTCATGACTAGGGGCAGAACAGCCAGGCACTGGGGCCTGAAAGCTACTCACTGGCCCCTCCCACATGAAATATGATTTCATATTCCATGTTGCCCTTTGGGCTTCTTGGTGTCAATCCCACCCATGAGGAGTCTTTGGATTACCATACGAAGCTGACTGTGTCCTTTTCTCCACTTCACTTAGTTCATGAACTCAAATTGGAATTTAACCATGGCATGTGTTCTGATCTTGTCATGGTCTCTTCTGACAGCACTGGTTGTGCAACTGAGTTTTATGTGCTATTTGCTGGAATATTTAATGGGCAATGGATTTTCATATAAAACACACATAATTTAATAAACTATTCTATGATATAAAATTATTCTTCCTGAAAAAAAAAAAGTTAAACCCTAATCAACTGTCAGCGTAGGGGACCCTGGCTACCTATCGGCTGGGCATTAATCAATACTGGAGAGGGTCCTTATTTTGCCTCCCTGATACTATAGTTACCTAGTAGGAGTTATCTCTTTTGCCTTTAAATGTTCATTTGAAATGTAAAAGTATATCAGGAGAGGTATCTATGAAAGGGGCCTTTGTTCACAAGCAGTAGAAATCTGAGATTCATGGAAACAAGGAATTCTGGCGGGGAAGAAAGACTTGCCAATAGGCTTCATGACTGACAGAAAATTGAAAGTGTGGTGGTTTAAAAGCCAGGAAGGAGCATTAACAATTCCCAAGTACCTTTTAAATCTTCCAGGCTGGGAAGCAACTGAAATCTAACTGGAACATAGAGGGAGAGGAGATGGGGTAACAAGGGGTTGGATTGCAACCAGAGCACCCTGGTTAGTTATGCCTCAGTGTATCATCTGCCCTGTCAGATCTTGGTAAGCATTATGGAATTAGAAAAGCCATTCAGGTTCTATGCCTGCAAAATTCCAGCCTCACTTTCCTGTAAACTGCAAATGTTTTATTTGTAGAAATCAAAAGGTTTTTTTTTCTTGAAGGTAAGTTGTTTGGTTTGTTTCAAAAGCAGTCGGGGGTGTGTGTGTGTGTGTGTATGTGTATGGGGGGGGTTATATTTAAATCTGTGTTGGAACTCAAATAGCTTTTGTCTCCTTCTTAATCATGGTGATATCGTTTGTTTATATGGAAAGAAACTCAGGTTCGTTGGTTGGTTGGTTGATCTCATCCTTTGAAGTTGGGAGCAGTCACTTCCAGAAGCCAACGTCATGGCAAATCAGATGCTGAGAATTTGTAACATAGGTCATCAGTCCAGACTGTGCTTGAACCATCTTTAAACTAGGAAAAGTCAAGAAACACCTTGAAAGCATTTGTATCAGATAATAAAAAGGCTGCCTTTAGTGACTCACCAGTAATGGCACGGCTGTTAAGGGAATTCCCTTTTCCTTGCAGAGAACATAAAACCCTACACCTGTTATGAAATCCGTGTGTATGCACTCTCAGAGGATCAAGGAGGATGCAGCTCCATCCTGGGTAACTCTAAGCACAAAGGTGAGTCTTGGAACCTTTTGCCAAATTTTGCTTTAATGATTTGGATTTGGAGGGTGACAGAAGCCTCCTGTGCCCTACTTTACAGCACCACTGAGTGGCCCCCATATTAATGCCATCACAGAGGAAAAGGGGAGCATTTTAATTTCATGGAACAGCATTCCAGTCCAGGAGCAAATGGGCTGCCTCCTCCATTACAGGATATACTGGAAGGAACGGGACTCCAACTCCCAGCCTCAGCTCTGTGGTATGTGTGAGAACCAAATGCAGTGAGTGGGGCCTTCTTGTTTGGATGTCAGGAAAACACAAGGAGGTGTGCGTGCATATCTACACACATGTGCTAGCACAATGCCTGGCAAATAGTAAGTACTCCATAAATACTTGTAAAGTTAACTGAATGAATAATTAGAAAAGACATCTAAACACACAAACAGAAAGTTATTGAATATGCGTTATGTGCCAAGCAAATTGCTAAGGATACAGAAATGAAGTAAATGGACTATTGACTTATTTGTTTTTTTTGAGACAATGCCTCACTCCGTTGCCCAGGCTGAGTGCAGTGGTGCAATCACAGCTCACTGCAGCCTTGACCTCCCTGGGCTCAAGCAATCCTTCTGCCTCAGCCTCCTAAGTAGTGGGAACTACAGGTACATGCCACCATGTCCAGCTAATTTTTAATTTTTTTTTTGTAGAGACAGAGTCTCCCTGTGTTGTCCAGGCTGGTCTACCAACTCCTGGGCTCAAGCAATTTGCCTACCTCGGCCTCCCAAAGTGCTGGGATTACAGGCATGGGCCATAGCGCCCTGCCAATCCTGTATAGGCTTTGAGGTTCACAAGAAATGCATTTGGAGAACTTTTAAATCCCAACATTTGCAATTACTATTACAGCATATTATTTTCTTCTTAAAATGGATAAAATATGACGCAGTGTAAGTAACACTTTATGGCCTAAAATTATTCTATAAGTATAAAACTAAAGCAATTAAAATAAACTCTAGCTAGAGTGTTGTCTCAAATGATGTCACGGATCACTCATTCATGTATAGTTCCAAGTCACTTGCCACACTTGATGTTCCAATCTTTGATTTATTCGGAGTTTTTGTTTTTCTTGGCTTGACCTTCTCTTTATTTTGTAAGAAGCTAGCTTTCAGGAACATTTATCATAAAGAAGGAACATTTGTATTTCTTTATGAGAGTTAGTAGGTCCAAGAAGAATGCAACAAAGCCACCCTGAGATGCAGCTGCCAGAGAGCTGCCTGCAGGGGTGATTTTCACCTGGGAAGCTTGAGGAGTTGTTCTTCTCTCTTGACTTTAAGAGGTCCACAGTGTGACTTTAAAAGCTGGTTAATTTTTATTATATAAATAATACTAAAACATAAAAATAACTCAGAAAGACATAAAAAGAAAAGTCATCTTCCCTTCACACTTAGGCTGTTAACAGTCCCTTGTGTATTCCTCCAGAAAAAAAAACAATTGATGCATATACAAGAAAATAGTTGAGATCTTTTTCAGTATTCTGATCTACACCTTGCTTTTACCTCTCAAAAATACATGCTAGAGACCCTTCTACATCTGTCTATGTGAACTTACGTCATTCTTTTTTATCAGCTCTGTAGTGTGCCATCATAAGGGCTTATGGTCATTTGTTGAATGAATTCACCATTGATAAACAGAACATATCACTGATCAGAACTTCTTCCCCCGGACTTGTCCCAGAGTAAGTCCATTCTGAAATGCACCCCAAGAGGTAAGGAATCAATTGATCTCTTCGGGAGGCATCTGGAATTCCTCATGTGAAATTTGCCCCCCAAATAACTTTCCTTTTGGCAGAGTTTAAACTGAGATACCTGTTTGCAACCACGAAGATCAACATGGTCTGTTTATTCTTTTATTATTATTATTATTTATTATTATTATTATTTTTGATACAGAGTCTTGCTCTGTTGCCTAGGCTAGAGTGCAATGGCATGATCTCAGCTCACTGCAACCTCTACCTCCCAGGTTCAAGTGATTCTCCTGCCTCAGCCTCCTGAGTAGCTGGGATTACAGACATGCACCACCATGCCCTGCTAATTTTTGTATTTTTAGTAGAGGAGGGGTTTCACCATGTTGGCCAGGCTGGTCTTGAACGCCTAACCTCTGGTGATCCACCTGCCTTGGCCTCCCACAGTGCTGAGATTACAGGTGTAAGCCACTGAGCCCAACCTCTTTTTTTTTTTTTTTTAACAGTAAGCCATCTACTTTAATAGTAAAAGTCTCTTGAGTCTGTTAATTCTTAACACTGCTCTTGTGGATGTTGAAGAAAATGCCTTCCTTATTTTGTCATAAATCTGATGACTCTAAAGCCTGCATAAGGGTATTTAAAAATAAGCTAAAAGGGGAGGGAGAGTGCAGATTCACAGTCCTATTTTATACTAGCTTAGGTTAAATTTCCATTTAATTCAGTAAGTATCTGTTGATGGATAAGACCTAGTCCCTATCTTCGACAAGCTCACAGTCTATAAGGGAGATAGAAAAGTACACAGAAGGAGGCTGGGCATGGTGGCTCACGCCTGTAATCACAGCACTTTGGGAGGCCCAGGTGGGCAGATCGTTTGAGCCCAATAGGTCAAGACCAGCCTGGGCAACAGGGTGAAACCCTGTCTCCACCAAAATTACAAAAAATTAGCCAGGCATGATGGTGTGCACCTGCAGTCCCAGCTACTCGGGAGGCTGAGGTGTGAGGATCACTGAGCGGCAGAGGTTGCAGTAAGCTGAAATCGCACCACTGCATTCCAGCCTGGGTGACAGAGCTGGACTCTGTCTCAAAGAGGGGAAAAAAAAAAAAAAGGAGAAATACACAAAAGGGATGTAACTGTCATAATCAAGGACTGACAACTACCTATTGCATTTGGCAACCAGAAATCACTGGTGAATTCACAAGGGCACTTTCTAGAGAGTGGTAGGAGGTAGTAGGTTAAGGAGGAGGGAGAAGGGAGAAAGGCAAAGCAGGAAGGTGTTCTGCTTTGATGGCCCCATCTTACGGGTGTTTCAGCACCATTGACCAGGCAGCAGTATTAACGGCACATGTGGAGCACAGTAAGGGCAAAAAATGAGGGACCTGCCTTGGCAGAGGAAGTAAGGTGTAGAGCCAGGGAGGGGCCCAGGTATCTGGATTGTAGTGAGTTATATGGGTGGCTCTGTGCACAGCCACTTCTCTGGAAGCTTGTCCATATTGCCATGTGCACCAGTAGAGCCATGGCCAGCACATTTTTCTACTAGAGAACACATTATACTTTGCTACTACCTAGTAGTCTTTGCCAACAGTCTCTAAGCATCTTAAGGGAAGAAGCCATGGCAATTTGCTCAGCATTATCTCCTCATGCCTAGAATATAGCCAGACACATGGTAGGTGCTTCATAAAAATAAACAGCTGAATACCACTCTACCCTTTGTTAAATCCAATGTAGATCGTTAGACAAAAACTTGTTTCCAGTAGCAGTGCAGCTGTTTTGTCTAGTACCACTTGACCTTCCTATCTAAAGCCTTTCCAATGACTGGCAACTATCACATCTTCCTACACTGGTGCCTTTATCATTGAACCACCCTGAGTCTAAGTTTTCAGACCGCCAAGGATTGAATGGCCTCTTTTATCTCTGCCAGAGATCACAGCCCAGAGGGAGCAGGACCAGTATTTCCTGCTTGACTTCTCAACTTCTTTCTCCTATTATACCACTCAGCCTATTTTGCCAACCAAACTGCTGACACCATCATCTTCCTCACTGCCTCTTCCCATGGAGTTTCTATTTTTGTTCTTCTAATATGTGTGCATATGTGTGTGTGTGTGTGCGGATAAACTTTATTGGCCCAGCAACCCATACAAATCCCTTCCCTTCTGTTCCAATGTCTCATTTCACTCCCAGAGTTAAGGATGCCCTCACACAGTTGGACAGTTGATTCCCTGACGCTTGCTGATGTTTTGCTACAACAGGAGGAACAGAAGGTCCCTCTAAAATTAATTTTTTAATCCCCTACTTCAGGACTAGAGAAAGGGCTTTTTGAGCTCATTCATATAGCTTAAGTCTATGCAAACAATTTCACCAGGCTAGAGGAGACTTGAGCATTTTCCACAAGGACTTTTCTCAACAGGATGTAAAATATACAAATTCTCTGATAGTCATGGTGAATAAATTATCTGCATGGGCTTCAACCCCTTTGGGTGGAGTAGAGGTAATATTATAGGACTTCATCTTGCTGATTACCCATAGTAAGCAGGGATGGGATAATGGAAGGGGTCTCTTTTCCCCATTAGATAGTGGACTCTTTGAGGCCGATTCTATGCTTTTGTATTGTCAGTGCCTTCTCCAGTGTAGGCACTCATATTTATGACTGTTGAAATAAATACAGCATGCAAGACATCTCTGACTTGCCCTGGAGTTTGTGAGCCAGTATATGTTGAGGTTGCAGTGAGCCGAGATTGTGCCATTGCACTCCAGCCTGGGTGACAGAGCGAGACTCCGTCTTAAAAAAGAAAAAAAAAAACTATTAAAATTTGTCTCAGTATTTTTTTTTTTTTTTTTTTTTTTTTAGTTGACACAGGCTACTTCTACCAAAGTGCTGGCCTTGACTCTGCCATCCTCCCCAGCTTTTGAAAAGTCACTCCAAAATCCACACCCAACAGGCCACTGGAGAAGATTGTCTGTTTACTAAAGGCTACCCACACTCATGTTTCTTAGATTAAAAAAACAACATCAGTGCTTGTTTACTCAATGTGTTTACTCAAAACACAAAATCTTCCCTACAGAGAAAACTGCAGGGGTGTTGAGAACATCAAGGCACTGGTAATCTAGGTTTACAGTTGCCAAATAAATCTAATCTAAGTATTGTTGCTCTAGTTTTTAATGATTTTATGTCATACTGAAGAAGATCCTCATATTATACCCTATAAGCTCAGGGCCCAGAGCCTACAAATGGAAAAGTGCAAAATCAAAGTTTAAAAGTGTTAAGTGAGGCCAGGTGCTGTGGCTCATGCCTATAATTCCAGCACTTTGGGAGGCTGAGGTGGGCAGATCACGAGGTCAGGAGTTTGAGACCAGCCTGACCAGCATGGTGAAACCCCATCCCTACTAAAAATACAAAACTTAGCCAGGCATGGTGGCACATGCCTATAATCCCAGTTACTCAGGAGGCTGAGGCTGAAGAATTGCTTGAACCGGGAGGTGGAGGTTGCAGTGAGCCCATGATCGTGTCACTGTACTCTAGCCTGGGTGACAGAGCGAGATTCTGTCTCAAAAAAAAAAAAAAAAAAATGTTAAGTGAATGTCTGTTTCATTAATTGTTAAAACTTACATAGGCCAGGTGTGTGGGCTCATGCCTGTAATCCCACACTTTGGGAGGCTGAGGTGGGCAGATCACTTGAGGCCAGGATTTAAGATCAGCCTGGCCAACATGGTGAAACCCCATCTCTACTAAAATACAAAAATTGTGCCAGGCAATGGTGGCACACACCTGTAGTCCCAACTACTCGGGAGACTGAGGCAGGAGAACTGCTTGAACCTAGGGAGGCAGAGGTTACAGTGAGCCGAGATCATGCCATTGCACTCTAGCCTGGGTGACAGAGCAAGACTCCATCTCAAAAAAATACAAAATACAAAATTTCATAACTGGCTGGACGCAGGTGGCTCACACTTGTAATCCAGCATTTTGGAGACTGAGGCAGGCAGATTACTTGAGGCAGGAGTTTGAGACCAGCTGGCCAACATGGTGAAACCCCATCACTACTAAAAATACAAAAATTAGCGTGATATGGTGGCACACACCTGTTGTCCAGCTACTTGGGGAGCTGAGGCAGGAGAATTGCTTGAACCAGGAGCAGAGGTTTGCAGTGAGCTGAGATCGTGTCACTGCTCTCCAGCCTGGCAACAGAGAGTGACCCTGTCTCAAAAAAAAAAAAAAAAAAAAAAAAGATTCCATAGCCTTGAAAACAATTTGTACATTTCACCTCCAGAACTCCCAAATAAGCCTGATAAATACTAGAAATATTATCATCACTGGAAATAAAGGGAGTTAACTACAGCTAAATATTTTCAAAAGCAAAACAACAAAAATTTATTCAAAAGATTTTACCACAAAACACAAAAAAGATAAAAGAAAATCAGAAAAAGAAAGTAAAAATAAAAATTTTACTACAAAAAAACTAATTTGTTTGATATGCTGTGGAGTGAGATATCCATAAATGACAATGTCTAGGGCCTCTTAAGGTATTAAGTACTGAGGAATTTGGACTATTTTAAAATAGCAAAATGCTTTTTCCTTCCAAATTAAATGAAGCAGTAAAGAGTAAAAATGAGTAGAAGCCTACATTAAAAGCCATATCCTTTAATACGTGCCTTTCTTCATCTTTATCTTCCTTTCAGAAATTCCCTACAGAGTCTCCCAAAATTCACATCCAATAAACGGCCTGCAGCCCCGAGTGACATATGTCCTGTGGATGACAGCTTTGACAGCTGCTGGCGAAAGTTCCCAAGGAAATGAGAGGGAATTTTGTCTGCAAGGTGAGAGACAATGTTAAGGATAATGAGTCCACCCTGGATTCTTGCACAGGCATGCACTTCTATTACATTTGGTATAGAGATAACCAGATTTTCTTTAATTCACTAATAACTTTCTTGCTGTCACTTTACACTTGTTTCTTCTAAATAGAATGCTTTACCACTCTACTATCTTCTTGGAGACAGTGTCTACTCATGTTTCAAAATTCATCAGAAATGCTTCCTCCTTCAGGAAGCCTTCCCAAATGCTCCTTACATAATGCACTTACATTTAATTCCTACTCAAAACTCTGAATCCACTAGGCAAGGACTGATATCTGTTTACCTCTGTCTTCAAGGCCTAGCATGGTGCCCAGCACACAGTACTTGCTTACTAAGTATCTGTTCCACAAATGATGAGAATTACATCAACAATAATAATAGCAGCTATTGCATATACAACAGTCATTCTGTTAAGCACTTTGCATACTACATCAATTTGCTAGGGCTGCTGCAACGAATCACCACAAACTGAGTTGCCTAATCAACAGAAATCTATTGTCTCACAGTTTTAGAGTCTAGAAGTCCAAGATCAAGGTGTCAGCAGGGTTGATTCCTTCGGAGGACTATGAGAGAGAATCTATTCCAGGCCTCTCTCCTCTTTTCCAGTAATTTGCAGGCAGTCATTAATATTACTTGGCTTGTAGGTCTCTGCTTTCATCTGGCATTCTCCATGTGTCCAAATTGTCTCCTTCTTATAAGGACACCAGTCATATTGGATTAGGGGCCCACTCTACTCCAGTATGACCTCATCTTAACTAATCATATATGCAATGATCCTAATTTCAAATGAGGTCACATTCTCAGGCTGGGGGTTTAGGACTTCAACATATAAATTTGAGGATCACACAGTTCAACCTATAACACATACTTTTGCTAATATTTCCTTACCAAAATTACATGGTTATACCTACTTCATCCTACCAGACACTCAATATGAAATGAATTTTTAAAACTGAAGGATTATCATGCCTTTTTTTAAGTGAGGGGACTAAGGTACAAAAAGATTACCCAAGGTCATGGAAGTGGTCAGTGGCAGAACTACAAATCAAACTCAGATTTGAGTTGCTTAAATTAAGTTAAATTTGAGTCTGATGAGTAAGTGACCCAGCTAGCATGGGCTTCCCTCCACTAGCTAAGTTACACTGTTCTCTCTAGCAATGCTCATTTGCATCTACTCTAAGCATCTTGCTTTGTGACATGAAGCATCAAGTTGATCATTCAAGAGACTTTCTTGTTCTATGCCAGGAAACTCTCCACTGGGAAATTGACAAGACTTCTTCTCATACCCTGAGCACTCCCATGAAAGTTAACTTGCAGCCGGGCATGGTGACTCGTGCCTGTAATCCCAGCACTTTGGGAGGCCGAGGCGGGCGGATCACAAGGTCAGGAGATCCAGACCATCCTGGCTAACACAGTGAAACCCCATCTCTACGAAAAAAAAATACAAAAAAATTAGCCGGGCGTGGTGGCGGGTGCCTGTAGTCCCAGCTACTTGGGAGGCAGGAGAATGGCGTGAACCCAGGAGGCGGAGCTTGCAGTGAGCTGAGATGGCAGCCACTGCACTCCAGCCTGGGTGACAGAGTGAGACTATGTCTCAAAAAAAAAAAAAGATCAAAAGAAAGTTAACTTGCTCGATTAATGTAGATTAAGGACTCAGACAAAAATTAGCTGGGAGCGGTGGTGCACTCCTGTAATCCCAGCTACTCGGGAGGCTGAGGCAAGAGAATCGTTTGAACCCAGGAGGCAGAGGTTGCAGGGAGCTGAGATCGCACCACTGCACTCCAGCCTGGGTGACAGAGCGAGACTCTGTCTCAAAAATAAAATAAAATAATAAAAAAAGGACTCAGCATCTTGCTACTGGTTTTACTCCAAACTTGCTCCATCTGCCCAGAAAGGAAAGCAGATGCTGAAGAAATGTGAGATTTGACCAAGTGTCGTGGCTCCCACCTATAATCCTAGCACTTTGGGAGGCCAAGGTGGGAGGATTGATTGAACACAGGAGTTCCACACCAGCCTGGGCAACATAACAAGACCCATCTCAATTAAAAAAGAAAGGAAGGCCAGATCCTCCTGATTGTATGGGGTAGAAAAAAGGTTGCCTCCATTAACTTCCCTATTCAGCCCTGTTGACACTTCTCATGGGCCCTAACAGGTCTCTGGCCTCTAGCTCCTCCTGCTCACTCTCCCTCCCAGCCTGTTTGTCATTCAATCAGAAGAGAAGTCTTTCTGCAAGACTCCAGATGCTGGCATTACTTCTCTCGTTGTAACTCATCAGTGGTTCCCCAAGGGCCCCTTCCAGCTAGAACTCAAACTCCATACTTGCCAGGTTCACATGGTCCTGTTTACCCATCTAGTTTGATCCTTTGCCACACACTTCAGCATTCATTATGGAGCAAGACCAGACTTCCTGTAGTTGCCTGAAAGTACTGGCTGTTCCCTCCTTCCATGACTTTGCACAGTTTTTTTTTGTTTGTTTTTGTTTTTTTCTGGTCTGGTCTTCCTTTGTTAGCTTATCCATTTAGCTGACTCCTATTCATCCTCCAACTCTACATTTTTTATTTTTTTTGAGACAGTGTCTCACTCTATTGTCCAGGTTGGAGTATAGTGGCATGATCATAGCTCACTGCAGCCTCGAAATCCTGGGCTCAAGTGATTCTCATGCCTCAGCCTCGCAAGTAGTTGAGACTGTGGGCTTCTGCCACCATGCCCAGCTAATCAACTCTAAACTTTTGACATTGTGCCTTTTGCAAAACCTTCCTCTGCTACTTGTGAACCAGTTTTCCATGCTGTTCTCTGCTATACCTCTCTGGACATTGCATACACCCCTGTTTTCATACATATCCCATGTGAATTAGTCCGTTCTCACACTGCTATAAGGACATACCCGAGACTGGATAATTTATAGAGGAAAGAGGTTTAATTCACAGTTCCACAGGGCTGGGGAAGCCTCAGGAAACTTATAATCATAGCAGAAGGGAAAGCAAATATGTCCTTCTTCACAAGGTGCCAGTAGAGAGAAGAATGAGGGCCAAGTGGGGGAAAGCCCCTTAGAAAACTGTCAGATTCTTGTGAGAACTCACTATCATGAGAACAGCATGGAGATAACTGCCCCCATGATTGAATTACCTCCCAGAAAGTCCCTCCCACCACACGTAGGGATCATGGGAACTACAGTTCAAGATAAGATTTGGGTGGGGACACAGCCAAACCATATCATTCCACCCCTGACCCCTCCCAAATCTCATTTCCTCACATTTCAAAACACAATCACGCCTTTCCAACAGTCCCCTGAAGTCTTAGGTCATTCCAGTAATAGTCCAAAAGTCCAAGTCCAAAGTCTCATCTGAGACAAAGCAAGTCTCTTCCACCTATGAGCCTATAAAATCAAAAACAAGCTAGTTACTTCCTAGATATAAAGGGGGTACAGGCATTGGGAAAATACACCCCTTCCAAATGGGAGAAATTGGCCAAAACAAAGGAGCTACAGGGCCCCATGCAAGTCCAAAAGCCAATAGGGCAATCATTAAATCTTAAAGCTCCAAAATGATCTCCTGCCCAGACCCACTTATGACTAGTGTTCCATTATTGGAATGCTAAGCATGTGGGAGTTATTTATATCCTACTGCTCAAGGTCATCACCAAGGTCAGATTTTTCACTCATGCAATAATTCAAAAAATTGCAACTTCAGGCATAAATAGGTTAACCCCATGTCTCACATCAGGTTATGCTGATGCAAGAGGTGGGCTCCCACAGCCTTGGGCAGCTCTGCCACTATGGCTTTGCAGAGTACAGCCCCCTTCTGACTGCCTTCATGGCTGGCATTGAGTGTCTGCAGCTTTTCCAGGTGTATGGTGCAAGCTGTCAGTGGATCTACCATTCTAGGGTCTGGAGGACAGTGGCCCTCTTTTCACAGCTCCACTAGGCAGTGCCCAGTGGGCACTCTGTGTAGGGGCTTGCACCCCACATTTCTCTTCCACACTGCTGTAGCAGAGGTTCTCCATGAGGGCTCTGCTCCTGCAGCAAACTTCTGCCTGGGCATCCAGGCACTTCCATACATCCTGTGAATTCTAGGCAAAGTTCTCTGAATTCTTGACCTCTGCGCACCCACAGGCCCAACACCATATGGAAGCTGCCAAGACCTGGGGCTTGCACCCTATGAAGCAATAGCCTGAGCTGTATGTTGGCCCCTTTTAGCCACAGCTGGAGTGGCTGGGATGCAGAGCACCAAGTCCCAAGGCTGCACATAGAAGTGGGGGCCCTGGACCCAGCCCTGAAAACCATTTTTCCCTCCTAGGCCTCCAGGCCTGTGATGGGAGGGGCTGTCATGAAGGTTCCTGACATGCTCGGAAGACATTTTCCCCATTGTCTTGGTAATTAACATTTGGCTCCTCATTACCTATGCAAATTTCTGCTGCCAGCTTGACTTTCTCCTCAGAAAACAGGGTTTTCTTTTCTATTGCATCATCAGGCTGCAAATTTTTCAAACTTTTATGTTCTGCTTCCTCTTGAATGTTTTGCTGCTTAGAAATTTCTTCTGCCAGATATCCTAGATCATCTCTCTCAAGTTCAAAGTTCCAAAGATCTCTGGGGCAGGTACAAAATGCCACCAGTCTGTTTGCATAGCAAGAGTAGCCTTTACTCCAGTTCCCAACAAGTTCCTCATCTCCATCTGAGACCACCTCAGCCTCAATTTCATTGTTCATATCACTACCAGCATTTTGGTCAAAGCCATTCGACAAGTCTCTAGGAAGTTCCAAACTTTCCCACATCTTCCTGTCTTCTGAGCCCTCCAAGTCTCTAGGAAATTCCAAACTTTCCCACGTTTTCCTGTCTTCTTTGGAGCCCTCCAAACTGTTCCAACCTCTGCCTTCATTCATTTCCAAAGCTGCTTCCACATCCTCAGATATCTTTACAGCAGTGCCCCACTCTCTATGGTACCAATTTACTTACTATATTAGTCTGTTCTCATGCTGCTATAAGGACATACCTGAGACTGGGTAATTTATAAAGGAAAGAGGTTTAATTGACTCATAATTCAGCATGACTAGGGAGGCCTCAGGAAACTTACATCATGGTTGAAGGGAAAGCAAACACATCCTTCTTCATAAGGCAGCAGGAGAGAGAAGAATGAGAGCAAAGCAGGGGTAAAGCCCCTTATGAAACCATCAGATTCTTGCAAGAACTCCCTCATAGCATGAGAACAGTAGCATGGGGTAACTGCCCCCATGATTACCTCCCAGTGGGTCCCTCCCACCACATGTGGGGATGATGGGAATTACAATTCAAGATGAGATTTGGGTGGGCACACAGCCAAACCATATCACCATGGCATCGTGGCTTATTGTTTACATGTTCACACATCTGTATCCTATACTATATTCATGACTTCTTTAGACAGCAGAGCCATGTCCTATTTATCTTTGTATCCCAGCACCTAACAGAGCCTGTTACATGGTTACTACTCAGCAAGTGCTGGATGAATTAATGGACAATTCCAGTAAGTAGTAAAATGCCGTAGTTCTTTTCATAGGAAGGAATAGGCACAATTTCAAATATTTCAAAAATTTCACAATCACCCTAGCTAGATAAAGGCTTATGCCATATTTTGCTAAAATTAATAGCTACTGTTTCTTGAGGACCTTCTATATTCAGACACACTGCCATGTGCTTTAAATATACCATCTCTGATCTTCATAACAACCAGCAAGGTACATGTCACCATTCACATTTTATAGATCAAGAAACTGAAGTCCAGGCCGGGCACGGTGGCTCACGCCTGTAATCCCAGCACTTTGGGAGGCTGAGGTGGGCAGATCATGAGGTCAGGAGTTCAAGACCCGCCTGGCCAATATGGTGAAACCCCGTCTCTACTAAAAATACAAAAATTATCCGGGGGTGGTGGCATGCGCCTGTAGTTCTGGCTACTTGGGAAGCTGACACAGGAGAATCACTTGAACCCGGGAGGCAGAGGTTGCAGTGAGCCAAGATTGCACCACTGCACTCCAGCCTGGGAGACACAGTGAGACTCCATCTCAAAAAAAAAAAAGAAAGAAACTGAAGTCCACAGATTACACATCTGCTAGCAGCACAGCCAGGACTAAGACAGGGCTCCCAATTCACAACTGTGCTTTGTATTCCGTGCCTCCTTGCTTTCTGCCCCTGTGAGTGGGAGGAGCCCTGTAGGGCCAGAGCTCCTCTTAGAACCATAGAATTGGTCCCCTTAGGGTCCCATTTCCCACACCGCGTAGACAAAAATGAATTTACCTTGTTCCTGAGCACAGCTGTCCCGGAGCTGTGGGTAAGGCCCAGAGGGCTCATATACCAATCAAGATTTTGAAATGTTCATTGATGATAACTCACTCAGTCACAGGATTTCCTAACTTTTCAGGTAAAGCCAATTGGATGGCATTTGTGGCACCAAGCATTTGCATTGCTATCATCATGGTGGGCATTTTCTCAACGCATTACTTCCAGCAAAAGTGAGTTGGTTACACCTACCAATTGGGTAAATGAGGCTTTTAAAAAAATGATAATAGCTGTTGCTGCCATGGGTCAGGGAAATGGACAGTCTCACACATTCCTAGTGAGAGACTAAACTTATTTCACCACTTTGGGTGACAGTATGTGTCAAATCCTTAAAAATATACCTTTTGATCTAATAATCTCTAACTAGAAATGTATCTCATATATATATATATACACTTTATTTTTCAAAAAAAATTTTTTGAGACAGAGTCACCCAGGCTGAAGTCCTGTGGTGTGATTTTGGCTCACTGCAACCTCCGCCTCCCAGGTTCAAGCAATTGTCCTGCCTCAGCCTTCCGAGTAGCTGGGATTACAGGTGCCCACCACCACACCCAGCTAATTTTTATATTTTTTATTAGAGACAGGGTTTCATCATGTTGGCCAGGCTGTTTCCGAACTCCTGACCTCAAGTGATCCGCCTGCCTCAGCCTCCCAAAGTACTGGGATTACAGGCATGAGCCACTGTGCCAAGCCTATTCTATTATAGATGTCTGCAGATATTTAGTGGAAAATATGTTCACTGAAATAATTTTCAGAAAAGAAAAATATGTGAGATAACCTAAATGCCCAATGATAAGGGATTGGGTAACTAAATCATGATATATCTTGTACTATAACTTATTATGTGTCCATGAAAGATGATGTAGAAATTAAATGATATGGCAGGCCGGGCGTAGTGGCTCACGCCTGTAATCCCAGCACTTTGGGAGGCCAAGGCGGGCAGATCACAAGGTCAGGAGATCGAGACCATCTTGGCCAACACGGTGAAACCCCGGCTCTACTAAAAATACAAAAATTAGCTGGGTGTGGTGGCACGCGCCTGTAGTCCCAGCTGAGACTCGGGAGGCTAAGGCAGGAGAATCACTTGAACCCGGGAGGCAGAGATTGCAGTGAGCTGAGATCCGGCCATTGCACTCCAACCTGGGCGGCAGAGCGAAAATTCCCCCCAAAAAAAAAAAAAAAAAAAAAAAAGAAATTAAATGGTATGAACAATATTTACCATGTTCCATTTAAAAGGCAGCCTGCCAAACAATATGTACTTTCATTTCTTAAAAATAGTGCATACACACAGATGCAAATGTAAGATATATCAGTTAGCATTAAATTTGGTTATATATAATATAAAAGTCAAAATAACATGACTGAGGCTGGGTGCAGTGGCTCATGCCTGTAATTTCAGCACTTCAGGAGGCTGAGGCGGTCAGATCACCTCAGGTCAGGAGTTCGAGACCAGTCTGGACAACATGGTGAAACTCTCTCTACTGAAAATAAAAAAATTAGCCAGCTCTGGTGGTGCACAACTGTAGTCCCTGGTATTCAGGAGGCTGAGGCATGAGAATCGCTTGAACCTGGGAGGCAGAGGTGGTAGTAAGTTAAGATTGTGCCACTGCACTCCAGCCTAAAACAGCAATAACAATCACAAAACAAACAAACAAACAAAAAAAAACACACCGTGGTCTTTCCTTTGAGGTAGAGCTGCAAGAAAAGAAAACAAAACTATGGTCCTTTAGCCGAGTGCATTGTCGTCCTAATAAATCTGGGTCCTCTTCTTCAGAAGGAGGGGAAAATGAATATTGGGTGGCAATTACTGTCTGCCTCAAGGATATAAACCATAATATTTTTGTTTTGTTTTGTTTTCAGACGGAGTCTTGCTCTGTCACCCAGGCTGGAGTGCAGTGGCATGATCTTGGCTCACTGCAGCCTCTGCTTCCTGGGTTCAAGATATTCTCCTGCCTCAGCCTCCCGAGTAGCTGGGACTACAGGTGCCCACCACCATGCCCAGCTAATTTTTGTATTTTTGGTAGAGACAGGGTTTCGCCATGTTGGCCAGGCTGGTCTCAAACTCCTGAACTCGTGATCCACCCACCTCGGCCTCCCAAAGTGCTGGGATTACAGGTGTGAGCCACTGTGCCCAGCCTAAAACACAATATTAATGGTGTTTATATCTGGGGATAAAATTGTAGGTGACTTTAGTTTTTCTTGTTTAACTATATTTTCTAGAATTTCCTTAGTAAACATGTATTATTTTTCAAAGAAAATATTTTTAATGAGTTGGTTTTTCAATACAAAGTTTTCTTCAAATGCTGTGTAAAGTTAGAGAAAAGGTCAAAATAAAACTAACTCAAAGTCATTTTACCAGCCATTGAAGTTGTCTAACAGGCTGTACATTTATTGAAGATCTAATGTGTGATAGATACTTCAAAGCAAAGCTCTCTTTGGGTAGACTTTGAAAAAGTTTAATTCAAAAGGAGTCAACTAGGATCACATGCATCCCCTTCATGGAAATTGTGAAGATCAGTTACAGTGCAGGCTAAACTGCCTTAAAAAAAAAAAAAAAAAAAAAGAGGACCCAAAGTACAGTGGCTTAAATAATACTTTATTTATCTTCCATATAATGGCCCTGAGGTAAGGTATCCAGATTGGTGGGCAGCTGTGCTCCATAGTTATTTGGCGACACAGTTTTCTTCCATCTTTTTGGCATACCATCCCTTGGGCATTGTCCTCATCTGCATGATCTCTATGAGATCACAGACACTTCTGCTCATATTTCTCTGGAGAAAACCTAGTCACATGGCCACATCTCTTACTTCAAAAGGTTAGACAAATTGTAAAGCATACTTTAAAAAAAAAAAATCAAAGCTTATCAAAGCCAAGTCTTTCAAATGTTTCATATTGTTCATGAACTTAAAAAAAAAATAAGTCACATACATTTATAAGAAATTTTTTAGGATTTTTCCTTCTACATCATAAAAGACCTATATTTCCTCTTATTGCCAAATACAACCACTGTTAATAGATATTTCAGATATTTCCCTAAAATACTTTTTTCTTGGCATTTTTAACATGGTTATGTTCAAGCTATTTATACCATTTTTGAATCCTGTCTTTTTTTCAACTGTTCACATAATTAACCTGTCACTACAAACTCTTTGTAAATATTGTAATTAGCTAAATAGTAAGGGTAGGGAACATGTCGTCTTCAATGCTCGGCAGGTAGCATTGTGCTGGTCACATATTAGGGGTTCAATGAATATTTATTGAATGAATGCATAGCTAGATAGTGATAGATTGCTAAATATTAGGTTGATCAAAAGTTCCATGGTTTATTTAGCAAACCCCAAGTGACTGTGTTGTAATTTCACAGAAAACTACTGTAGCCTTGGACGATAAATAAATCATCTTTGTCTTTCAGTGTTTATATTTTATTTGCATACAAAAGCAGCCTTACACTGAAGGTACTGCACTGAGAACCTGTGTTTCCATGCCACTGTGTGCACACCTAAGAAAATGTCACTGTTTTCTTTATCTATAGGTTATCTGTTTTCCTAGCGGCCCTCAGACCTCAGTGGTGTAGCAGAGAAATTCCAGATCCAGCAAATAGCACTTGCGCTAAGAAATATCCCATTGCAGAGGTAAGGTATAATTCCTCTGTGGTCAGTCAGTGGGGTTCTAGTGATCACCACATCTAAGTTTTCCATTGTAGTTATGAGGAAGCCTAGGTGCTGAGATCCTATGATTGAGCTTAAGTTATTCATGCTAAGCTACCACTGAGTCATCACTCTCACTTTTCTTCCTGAACTTAAGAGAAATCATGCACAGGAATCTTCTGAAGTTTATGATCATAAGATTAAAACCCCCTAGCTTTTTATTCCTCAGTATGCCTCACATTCCCCTTCTCACCAAACTGCTCTCCTGTTCTCACCTAACTTATTTCAAAAGAAGAAAGCAAGCTTTTTTTGTTTTGTTTTTTTGGCCATTTGTTGAGTTGCCATTGCCTGAGCATTGAGTCATCCAAAATTCAAGAGAATTGAAGATTTTGATTTTTCCTGTCTAAGCATAGAAAAGATAAATAGAACCCATACTATTTTGGTTTGGGTAAGAAGCCAGTACATCATTCCATTGTGCAAAGAAAAGGTTTTAAAGGAGAGGTTGATCAGCTGGCAGATGAGAGAGGGGAGAGTAAAGAGAGTGAAGGGAACTGCTGCAGCCCAGGAAAAGAGGTGAGAAAGCTCACAGTGGGCAAGATGGGCCATCCCTGGTGGAGGGTCTGGAAGTTGAAAGCATCTAAATATGAAGACTACATTTAAGGGGAGAAATAGGAGAGAGAAGTGGCAAGCCAATATTCCTCCCATCGCCTGGGGCTTTGACAGCTCCAGGCTTCCTTTCCAAGACTTTACAACATTTCTCGGGCAAGATGCTTCTCTCCAACTACCAAGTATGTTCTGTCATCCACACCCTTCCTCAGGCCAGAAGCCAGTGGTCCATAGTCCCAGCCTCTGCTCAAAAAAAAAAAAAAAAAAAAAGAATGGATCCCAGTCACTGCATCCTCAGGAACTTAAGACACAACAGATTAGTGCCTTTGAAATCAAGCCCGGAGGCCACCCCTGCCTCTGCCACTTACTATGTGTGTGACTCTTGGGCAACTTGCCCAGCTATCTGAGCCCAAGTTTCAGTCTTCATAAAACAATGTCATTCTTTCTTACCACCGTGAGGATTAAATAAGATGCCATGTACAGCACATGGGTCATATAAGACAAAGATCATTCACTTTCTTCCCAAGAAGACCCATAATTTAAGTCTCTTCTGAGGGATTTCATCCCTATTAAGTTACAACAGCAAAAATAGTGACAGTAACAGCAGTTTGTGTGTGTGTATATACATATATATATACACATATATATATTTTTATATATAAATACACAAACTGCTGTTATCACTATTTTAGAGATATAATGTACAGGTTATATATTTATATATTTTATATATTCTGTCATAAATAATTATATAATTATATTACACATTATTATAATTTAGATATATTACCTTATATGTACCAGGAACTTTTGAAAACATTTTCATATGTTAACATTTAACCCATAAACATCTTTATGAGGTCGTATGATTTTTTTTTTTTTTTTGAGACGGAGTCTTGCTCTGTTGCCCAGAGCAACAGAGTGCAGTGGTGCAATCTCCGCTCACTGCAAGCCCCGCCTTCCGGGTTCACGCCATTCTCCTGCCTCAGCTTCCCGAGTAGCTGGGACTACAGGCGCCCGCCACCACGCCTGGCTAAATTTTTTTTTTGTATTTTTAGTAGAGATGGGTTTTCACCATGTTAGCCAGGATGGTCTCGATCTCCTGACCTCGTGATCCGCCCGCCTCGGCCTCCCAAAGTGCTGGGATTATAGGCGTGAGCCACCATGCCTGGCATGAGGTTGTATGATTATTATCTTCATTTTCCACATGAGGAAACTGAGGCACAGAGGACTAACTTGCCCAATGTTAGTCAGCGAGTAAATGGTGGATCCTGGACTCATATCCAAGTAGGATGTGCTGCTCATCATTGCATTATACATTTTAAAGGATCTTTAAACACGGGATGAGGAGAGTGTTTCTAGCAGTCTACACCTCTGAGCTGAAGAGATTTATTAGAGAAAGTAAGACAGAAGGAAGGTAATAGAAATTGGTATACATATGCCCAAAGTTGTGTAGCATAAGCGCGTTCATTGAAGCATTATAAATAGAAGCAAAAACTTGGGCAGAATGTAAAAGTGCACCGGGGACAAAGTAAACATTTTGGGTACATCTGTACAATAGGGTATTAGGCAAATACTTAAAAAATGAGATAGATCTATATGTGCCTAAAGATCTCCAAGATACTTAAAAGTAAAAAGAGCAATATTTATCACAATTGTCTAAAGTGGGTTCATTTATATAAAAATGAGGGCGATTTTATATACACTCATACATCTGCAGCATGGGCACAGGATATTTCTGGAAGCCCACTGTGATACATATGAAACAGAGAATGGTGGTTGCCTCCAGGGAGAGGGTGGAGAGTATGAGAGCCACTTAATTTTCATTACATAGTCCCTTTGAACTTTTAGATATCTTTTTTTTCTTTTTTGACACAGAGTCTTGCTCTGTTGCCCAAGCTGAAATGCAATGGTATGATCTCGGCTCAGTGCAACCTACGCCTCCCAGGTCCAAGCGATTCTCCTGCCTCAGCCTCCCAAGTAGCTGGGATTACAGGCACCTGCCACCAAACCCAGCTAATTTTTGTATTTTTAGTAGAGATGGGGTTTCACCATGTTGGCCAGGCTGGTCTTGAACTCCTGACCTCAAGTGATCCACCCGCCTCAGCCTCCCAAAGTGTTGGGATTACAGGCATGAGCCACCACACCTGGCCTAGAATGTCTTAAGAACACTATGTGCATATAATTTTTTTGCAAAAATAACCAGTGAATTAGAAAATTTTTTAAATTAAGCAGCTTAAATATGGCCTCCAGGATGAAGGCCCTGAGATGGCCTTAGAACCCCATGTGGCTTGACCCTTGAAGGAGGTGGACTGTTTTTAGAAAGCAAACTGCTCTCTGGGTGCTAGGCAGAGGCAGACAACAGAAACACAATAGTGTGTCCTCCCCTTCTAGCAAATGTGCTTTGAGCTCTCAGGCCTTCCCTCCCCTACTGTTTCTTAAGATATGGCTACAAAACCATGTGCCCTAAAGCTCTGAAGGAAAAGGCCAAATCATAAAGGGGATTGCTGGAGTGTTATCCAACTTGTAAAAGCTTAAAATAGTGTCCATGAGGTTCCTGAACTGATAGTGGTTTAAGAGGCCTGCCCCCGAGGACTTGGCAGCCAGAGGGCCCGCTTTGTAAAAGCCGTGAGAAGCGGCCTCTCAGTGTTGCTGTTGCTCTCCTGACAGCAGAGCAAACACCTCAGCTTGTGAAAACGACAAGACATTTCCACACAGGGTGTACTCTCTCCCACATCTGTGGTAGCAGCACTTTGGCAGCTCAGCTTCCCAGAGCTGCCAGCTGTGTTCCGAGCCAGACCAACATGCCAGGGCCAGTTTGGGTAGTGATCAGAAAAGAGCAGCTTCTCTAAAGTGAAACACATACACACATCCTCTAGCTTGGCAGGGCCCTTTGTGGAAATCTGTTCTGAGACACTGCCATTGTTCACTTTCCTGACACTTGCCATGTCCAAGGCAAGGGAGGGGATGTCAGAAGAAGATCCAGACCAAACCCCTCTTGCGCAACTTGTCATTGGACAAATCGGAGAACTGAGGCCCTAGAGAGGCCTCAGTAGACCACTGTAGACTGGTTTTCCCCAGGGTATGGTGTCAGAGTTGGGACTAGTCCCCAGGGTGTGCCTTGTCACACGGCTATTTTTTGTCATCCTACTCTTCCTGTAAGACATGGTCCCTGTGCACACATAGCTTACAGACATTTAAAAAAAGTGACAGCACAAAACATCACATGCCAAGAACCTAACGGTGGTTTCTTCATTGAATAGGCATCCAGGGGAAGGAACAGTCACCAGGGGCCTCATGGAAGGAGAAGGCACCAAGCATGGGACAGTAGGAGGCACACACAAGCAGGGTGAAGGCTGGTGGTGGAAGCAAAAGTGTGTGGGGCACTGAGAGAAGGGCGTGATTAGTAAGACTGGGACAGTGGCTGAAAGAGCAGCTTCTGAAGAGAAAGACAGGGAGGTGGAGGAAGGGCAGGAACCAATTGCCAGGCCAATGCTGGAATCTTGACTGTACATGGAAGCCAAGTCAGTAGAGGCTCTGGACCTCTGCTTGGGAAAGATCAGACAACCAGTGTGTAGGATTGTTTCTAGGAGGCAAAGAGACCCCAATTAAAGCCCAGTTTTTAAAAAGTGTTAATAGGAAAGTGCCAAGGACTTGGACTCAGGAATTGGCAGCAAGTTCGGAAAGGAAAGAGATAGGACATTGAAGAGCTGGTCACTGGCAGAATGCTAAGAGAAAATAAGTGAGATAATTAATTAATTTTAAAAAGTATAAGCTAATTTTGTCTGTTACAAACACAATTAGCTAAAGGCAAAAAAAAGATGAAAATTTCTTCTAAAAATGTTACTCCAAAGTTGTCTTTCTTAAAAGCAGATCTGACAAGGAATACTACCTTGCCTGAAACCTTTCAGTAGTTCTCTCAAGGCACAAACACCCTTGCGTCACTTAAAAGGCCCTGTGTGATGTGACCGCCTCCTATTTCTGAAGTCTTGGGTTACCAGTCATAAGAAATAACTAGCAGGTTCCAAAATACACCAGTCCTCCTTGCCAGCACCTCCCTACCTGGAAAATACCACACGTCTCTCAGGACTCAGCTCTTGTGTCCCTTCATCACCTGTTTAGTGTGACCCTAAAGGCTTCATTGCCTCTTCCCCAAGACAGAAGCAGTCTCAGCCTTTCATTTGCATATCCAGTGACCTCTGTCCTTGAGGAAAAGCAGATAGTACAGCTTGGTTCACATTAGAAATGCGGCTAGGCGTGGTGGCTCATGCCTGTAATCCCAGCACTTTGGGAGGCCGAGGTGGGCAGATCACTTGAGGTCAGGAGTTTGAGACCAGCCTGGCCAACATGGTGAAACCCTGTCTCTACCAAAAATACACAATTAGCCAGGTGTGGTGGCACACACCTATAATCCCAGCCACTCGGGAGGCTGAGGCAAGAGAATTGCTTGAACCTGGGAGGTGGAGGTTACAGGGAGCCAAGATTGGGCCACTGAGCTCGAGCCTGGGTGACAGAAGGAGACTTGGTCTCAAAAAAAAAAAAAAAAAAAGAAGACAGAAAGAAAGAGAGAAAAAGAGAGACAGAGAAAGAAAGAAAAGAAAAGAAAAGAGAAAAGAGAGAGACAGGTTGAAGGTTGAGCAGGGTAGTGAATCACTCACTGGCTGGGGGTTGAGAGGAGTCTCCGGCTCCTGCCCCTCTGCCTCCCCAACAATGTTAACTATTTCTCTTACCTCGCAAACTCCAGTGCCCACCATGTTGCAGCCAGGGCTGAGGAGACAGTGTAGGTTGTGAGGCCTTTGGGAACCCTGGAGAAATAGGTTGTTAAGGTCGCTTCTACAGCAGTGTGAGCCTCTTCCTCCTCCTTTTGCTCAGGAGAAGACACAGCTGCCCTTGGACAGGCTCCTGATAGACTGGTCCATGCCTGAAGATCCTGAACCCCTGGTCATCAGTGAAGTCCTTCATCAAGTGACCCCAATTGTCAGACGTCCCCACTGCTCCAACTGGCCACAAAGGGGAAAAGGAATCCAAGGTCAGCAGGCCTCAGAGAAAGACATGATGCACACTGCCTCAAGCCCACCACCTCCAAGAGCTCTCCCAGCTGAGAGCAGACAACTGGTGGATCTGTACAAGGTGCTGGAGAGCAGGGGTTCCTACCCAAAGCCAGAAAACCCAGCCAGTCCCTGGACGGTGCTCTCAGCGGGCAACCTTCCCACCCACGATGGCTACTTACCCTCCAACATAGATGACCTCCCCTCACATGAGGTGCCTCTCACTGACTCTCTGGAAGAACTGGAGCCTCAGCACATCTCCCTTTCTGTTTTCCCCTCAAGTTCTCTTCACCCACTCACCTTCTCCTATGGTGATAAGCTGACTCTGGATCAGTTAAAGATGAGGTGTGACTCCCTCATGCTCTGAGTGGTGAGGCTTGGAGCTTTAAAGTCAGTGTGCCCCCAACCAGCACAGCCTGTCCCAATTCCCCCGGCCCCTGCTCCAGCGGCTGTCATCTCTGGGTACCGCCATCAGTCTGGCTGCAGCTAGAGGACAGTCAAGCCAGCTCTGGGGGAGTCTTAGGAACTGGGAGTTGGTCTTCACCCAGATGCCTCATCTTGCCTTTCCCAGGGCCTTAAGATGACATCCTTCACTGTGTGGACCTAGACTCCAATGTGAATTCCTAGTAAATTTCTTGGTATGCTGGCCAGAAAGGGAAATGAGGAGGAGAGTAGAAACCACAGCTCTTAGTAGTGGCATACAGTCTAGAGGACCATTCATGCAATGACTATTTCTAAAGCACCCGCTACACAGCAGGCTGTACACAACAGATCAGTACTGTTCGACAGAACTTCCTGAGATGATGGAAATGTTACCTCTGCACTCACTGTCCAATACATTAGACACTAGGCACATTGGCTGTTAATCACTTGGAATGTGTTTAGCCTGACTGAGGAATTCAATTTTGATTGTAAATTTAAATCACCACGCATGGCTACTGGCTACTGTATTGGAGAGCACAGCTCTAGATGGCTCCTAGATTATTAAGAGCCTTCAAAACAAATCAACGTAGTTCTACAGATGAAGACATAAAAGACACTGGTAAACACCAATGTAAAAGGGCCCCCAAGGTGATCATGACTGGTCTTATTTGTAGAAGTCTAAGAATGTACCTTTTTCCAGCTGGGTGTGGTGGTTCACGCCTGTAATCCCAGCCGAGGCAGGTGGATCACAAGGTCAGGAGATCAAGACCATCCTGGTTAACATGGTGAAACCCTGTCTCTACTAAAAATACAAAAAAAAAATACAAAAAAAAAAAAAAAAAAAATTAGGGCATGATGGCAGGTACCTGTAGTCCCAGCTACTCAGGAGGCTGAGGCAGGAGAATGGCATGAACCCGGGAGGTGGGGCTTGCAGTGAGCCAAGATCCCGCCACTGCACTCCAGCCTGAGCAACAGAGCAAGACTCTGTTTTTGTTTTTGTCTTTTTTAAAAAAAAAAAAAAAGAATGTGCCTTTTTCCTAGTTTTGCTGGTTTATTGTTTTATTTTGGCTTCATCCTCTTCCAGCAAATCAAGGGCATCTGGATAGTGAAGACCTACCGTAAACTCACCATAGTACCATAGTACCTTGGGCAACCCAGCCTCCCCCTCTGAATGTCAGGTGTCTTGTAAAGGGCTGGTCCAAAGGCTCTCTGACCCCTTGTTTCCTCTTTTTGTTGCAGCAGGCCCTGCCTTTAGGACCAGGGCTGTCTCAGGGTCTAAGACCCCAGACTCCAAGGTTGTCCTCAGAAGTTGTCTGTCCCCTGTTCCCAAAGGCACAGCTTTCAATTCCCGAGAAGATTTTGAGCTGGTCCTCTGCCAGCTCAAGTTCAGCCTGGAAGATAACTCTCTTTTCCACAGCATGGACTTGGAACATGATCCATGTTTTGCTCTTTAAAACTGTGGCCCCTGGCTTGCCACCCTCCCTGGCCCATTGCTGCCTCTGTCTCTTCACCTTAGGCAGTTTTGCCTAACTAGTGGAGAAAAGTCTCGGTCTAAACTGCTAATAGTGCTCTTCCCTAAAGAACAAGATAAAAGATCCAAAAAACTTTTCCTTAAATTCCTGTCAAGCCTGGGGTCTACCCCCTACCCCTTCCCACATGAACATTGAAACTGAGATGGTTTCTCCATCATCCTCTGGATTTTCATTTAACAAAGTACTTGTTGCAAATGTGTACTTCTTCCCTAATGTGCGGAACTAGAAACTTGTCCATACATACCCCAGTCCTGTAGAAATAACTGTTCTTGGGCTTTAGGTTTTCCAGATTTCCCTCACAGCTCTAGAAACTGAGTGATGGATAGTTGCTCTGCTTCTTCGGGTTGAAACTCTTGATATATCCTTGTTTCCTGCAATTCCAAACTTAACACCTATAGTTTTCTCAGGCTTTTTTTGAAAAGTTCCTTCCTTTCTATTTCTATTCCACTCTATTGAGCTATTATTGTGCAGCACCCCCAGTGGTTCCTTTCCTCTCAGCATCACTGTAGCTTGCTGCACCCAGGACATGCCCTTGACTGGCACAAACCGTGACAGATAAGGCCACCTCCTCAGAAGCAGAACAACCTATTATCTTTTGGCAATGGGAGCTAACTTCACTGTTTTCTTATAATACCCGGTTTTTCCTATCTTTGGTTTCTTTTTGATTACCTCTCATCCATCTCAGTCACTCTTCTCCTCCCCTCCCTTGTGTCTACAATACCCCATTTTACCAAGTCTCCCATTTAACCTCCCCATCCTTTTCTTTCCCTTAAAGTCTCATATGATACTGCAGTCTTCATTTGTCTTCCCCAAAAAAACAAAAAAAATTTTTTTTTAAAGAATCCTTCCTTGACTCTTAAAGACTCCTAGGGATGCTGAGGCCTCCTCAGCATGATTTCCATATACTTACTTTCTCTGTTGGACTACAGACAACTTGAAAGCAGGAACTTTGGCAATGTTTCCCAGCACCAGCATCATGCCTGGTCCATAGTAGCTACCAATAAAAAAAGTAAGCATCGTAAACCCAAAAGTATCTGAGAAAGGTCTCAATTAATTTAAAAAGTTTTTGTTTTGCCAAATAACACATGACACAGCCTCAGAAGGTCCGGAGGACATGTGCCCAAAGTGGTTAAGGCACAGCTTGGTTTTACACATTTTAGGGAAACATAAGACATCAATCAACATATGTGAGATGTACATTGGTTGGGTCTGGAAAGGCAGGATAACTCAAAGTGGGGGCTTCCAGGTCATAGGTAAATAAGAGACAAAAGGTTGCATTCTTTTGGGGCTTTGATCAACCTTTTACTAAAACATAATTTACATGTGAGAAGGAGGTAGCTCAGGTGAACAGAGGGATGACTCTGAGTTCTGTCTATTCTTTGTCCCACGCCTGTGAAGATCAGCTATGGTGAAATTCAACAGAACTGTTTTAGAGTAAAGATCTTGAAGTCCTCGTAGGCAAATTGTGAGGAAAGTATGCAGTTTTTTGCGGGGAGGAGGGGAATAAAATGGGAGGCAGGTTTGCCTGATGCAGTTCCCAGCTTGGCTTTTCCCTTTGGCTTAGACTGATTTTCTTTTCGCAGCAGCATCACCTGCCACTGCTTTGTCTTATTCTTTCTATTCCAGAAGCCAGCTCATCTGTGCCCATTTCCTCCTTATTGGAACAATTGTTTGCATTCATTCATTTTCCTTCCCAAACCCCATTCTCTCCCATTTGTTGACAGCACCACTGTGATGCATGGAGGGGTGTTTCTGGTTTTAAAGACGTATTTGAGCATGTCTTTGGCAGCTCAGTCTGCCAGATACGGTGTCCTCTTTCCATGAATGACAGAGGATGGGTAACTCTGTTCTGCCATTGCCCCAAGTGGTTTTCACAATCTGCCCTTCTCCCCGCTGCCTCCCACCACTAGTAAAAACCCCAAACCAAGTTGCTGGGTTCACCAGGTCTAGGTGATACTCACCAACATACAGCCAGGCTTTCATTCCTCAGGAAAATTGTCAGTAATTTTGTGGTCTTATAATGATATATATTGGTTTCCATCCACGGTTGCTGGCTCATGATGTCAGAGGTGTTTGAACCACAGTGACTCCATCTTGAATAGAGGCTGGGTAAAATAAGGCTGAGACCTACTGGGCTGCATTCACAGGAGATTAGGCATTCTTAGTCACAGGATGAGATAGGTTGGCATAAGGTAAAAGTCACAAAGGCCCTGCTGATAAAAGAGGTTGTGGTAAAGAAGCCAGACAAAACCCACCAAAACCAAGATGGTGACGAAAGTGACCTCTGGTCATCCTCACTGCTCATTATATGCTAATTATAATGCATTAGCATGCTAACAGACGCTCCCTCCACAACAGTTTACAAATGCCATGGCAACATCAGAAAGTTACCCTATAGGTTCTAAAAAGAGGAGAAACTCACAGCTCTGGGAATTGCCCACCCCTTTCCTGGAAAACTCATGAATAATTCACCTCTTGTTTAGCATATAATCAAGAAATAACTCAGGTCATGCATGGTGACTCACGCATTTTGGGAGGCAGAGGTGGGTGGATCACCTGAGGTGTCAGGAGTTCCACATCAGCCTGGCTAACATGGTGAAACCCCATCACTACTAAAAATTCAAAATTAGCCAGGCATAGTGGCATGTGCCTGTAGACAGGAGAATCGCTTAGAACCGGGAGGCAGAGGTTGCAGTGAGCCGAGATTGCACCATTGCACTCCAGCCTGGTCAACAGAGTGAGACTCTGTTTCAAAACAACAACAACAACAAAAACTGTAAGTATACTCAATTGAGCAGCCCATGCCGCTGCTCTATGGAGTAGCCATTCTTCTATTTCTTTACTTTCTTAATAAACTTACTTTCAGTTTACTTTATGGATTCACCTCAAATTTTTTCTTGCTCAAAATCCAAGAATCCCCTCTTGGTGTCTGGATGGGGACTCCTGTCCCATAACAGTAACTCCCATAGCCCTCCTTAGTTTTTTGCTATGTTGGGTGTGTCAGGCCTCAGGGGCTGGCCTCTGACCTTCTCCTACCCTCCTTTCACTCTAACATTCCCCTGCATTTCCAATTGTGGGCCTTAAGACCCTCCCATGAGACAGTCCTACCCATACTCTGGGAGAAGGAATGCTGATGTCATGAAGCTTCCATAAAAACCCAAGAGGGCCAGGCACGGTTGGCTCACACCTGTAATCCCAGCACTTTGGGAGGCCGAGGTAAGTGGATGACTCCAGGCCAGGAGTTTGAGACCAGCCTTGCTAATATGGCGAAAATCCCATTTCCACTAAAAATACAAAAATTAACCAAGCATGGTGGCACATGCCTATAATCTCGGTTACTTGGAAGGCTGGGGCAAGAGAGTCGCTTGAACTCAGGAGGCAGAGGTTGCAGTGAGCCAAGATCATGCCACTGCACTCCAGCCTGGGCGACAGGGCAAGACTGTCTTAAAAAACAACAACAAAAAGCAAAACCCAAGAGGACTGGATTCAGAGAGAATCCAGATAGCTGAACATGTGGAGATTCCTGAAAGGCGGTGCATGGAAGTTCCATGCCCCTTCCCCCATTCCTCGCACTATGTATCTCTTTATCTGTATCCTTTGGAATAAACCAATAAAGGTTGTTTCCCTGAGTTCTGTGAGCTGCTCCAGTAAAT